TAATAAGTATTTTAAGTCCTCTTCACTTTCAGCAAGCAAGGTTGTATCATCTGCATATCACAGGTTGTTAATGAGTCTTCCTCCAATCCTGATGTTACATTTTTCTACAGATAGCATAATATAATACACAAAAAACAATCTTCTACATCTTACGTTGGTGAATAGCATCTGGGATCTTAAAAGCTCATGAATGGCTATCTAAAGTGCAAATATTGACCTGTCCATGTGCTGAAGATAGAAGCCAAAATTAATTAGCTACATGTCTGGTATTTTAAAAGCTCATTAGCAATTTTCTAAGGTGCAACTATTGGTCTCTCGATGTGTAGAATTAAGTAAACTGATGAGAATTGAACAACTTTGTAATCAATTAATCAAATGGACTAATGAGACATGTGAACATCAGTTTATATGACTCTGAAATCACAAGAATTGGATGATGCCCAGCAACCACTACCAACTGTTCTGAAAGGGTTGCATTAGAAGGTCCTGGATAGAGTGACAGAAAATGTAGAACAAAATTCAAAATTACAAAAAAACAAAAACCAGGTTTACTGGCCAGAAAGAGAATGGAGGAATCCAAGACTATGGCCCTCGACCACCCTTCAGATCTGGAAAGGATGACCTCATGGCCCAATTTTCACATGGGTGGTAGATAGGCATACAGGGGAGACAACAACACTGGTGAGGTATCCTCTCTATGGAATGGTTAATCATTCTAAATCAAAAGGGCAGCATTTACCAAAGGACAAAGTTGAAAAGAGTTGGGGAGGTGAGTGGAATGGAAGTAGAAACCACATGGAGTAAGTGGGACACTGTTATTGCATGGAAGGGATTGCAATCATTGAGATGACACAAAGTATGATTTGTTGAATGTAAAACTGATAATCTTGCCTGTAAACCTTGACTCAATTCACAGTAAAGAAAAATTTTAAAGGTCTTTTGTAGCAGATTTGCCTGGTGCAATAAATAATTTGATTAGCTCACTGCTGATTGCATGAGTGTTGATTGTGGATCCAAGTAAAATGAAATCCTGGAGAACTTCAGTTTTCTTTTTTCATCAGGATACTGCTTATTGGTTAAGTTGTAAGAATTTCTGTTTCCTTTATGTTGAAATATAATCCTTATTGAAGGGTGTAGTCTTAAATCTTCATTAATAAGTGTTTCAAGCTATCTTCACTTTCAGCAAGGAAGGTTGTGTTGCCTGCATATCACGGGTTTTTACTGTCTTCCTTCAATCCTGATACCTCATTCTTCTTCATGTGGTCCACTTGAACCACTGCCTTCCCTTGTTCCATGTCCTGTTCTGATTCCAGCTTGAATTTATGACAATTACCAGTTGATGTACTGTTTTGTCTATGAGTCTACTGCTTTTGAATATTTGTACTGATGACTATCAGTACAAGGGGGTTAATAATCAGAGGAAGAAGTGTTGAGTTGACTATCACTCTAGAAAGAGATATCAGTGATATAGACATAGAGGTAAAGGTAGCTGTGCTGGTGGTAGTTGTGTGCCATCAAGTGAATTCCAACTCAGGGTGACCTTTTATAGGGTTTCCAAGGCTGAAATCTTTATAAGAGCAGAAAATCTCATCTTTCTTTCATGGAGCAGCTGGTAGATTCAAATAGCTGACCCTGTGATTAGCAGTCCAGCTCATAATCTACTACCACACCAGGACTCCTTAGCAGTAACTATACCTATAGCTATATGAACCATCCAGTTGCCATAAGTCAGTTCCGACTCATGGTGACCCTATGGATGTCAGAGTAGATTTGCATCTCATAGACTTCCAATGGCTTAGTTTTCAGAAGGAGATTGCCAGGCCTTTCTTCAAAAGTACTTCTGAGAGAACTCAACTTGCAAATCTTTTGGTTAGCAAAAAAATGCACTAACTGTTTGTACCACTGCACCACCACTCAATGCTGTCGAGTCCATTTTGGGTCATAGTGGTCCTATAGGATAGAGTAGAACTGAGACTGTAAACCTCTTACAGGATCAGAGAGCTTCATCTTTCTCCCAGGGACCAGCTGATGGGATCAAGCCACCGATGTTGCAATTAACAGCCCAATGGTAAACTCACTGCACCACCCAGGGACTCATAGATATAGAAATCACCAGTATATACAGAAATGTCAGTACATATGTATGTTGTTGTTGTTGTTGTTGTTGAGTGCCATCGAGTCAGTTCCGACCCATAGCGACCCTGTACAGGGTTTCCAAGGGTGTAAATCTTTATGGGAGTAGAAAGCCCCATCTTTCTCCCGCGGAGCGGCTGGTATTTTCGAACCGCTGACCTTAATGTTCGCAGCCCAATTCGTACCCACTACGCTAATATATATAAATTGGGAATATTGTGGTTCTGTAGGATAAGCAATAGACAATCACAAAGTTGGTAGTTCAAGCCCACCAGCTACTCCACAGAAGAAAGATGAGGCTTTCTTCTTCCATAAAGATTTACAGCCTCAGAAACCTTATCCAGAGTTGTTATGAGTCAGAATTGACAAGGATATACATAACAACTATATATGTATAAAACTCTATTTCATGCAATAATCTTAACCTAACTTTTGTTGAACCGTATGCTTTAAGTTCATTAACTCAGGAAAATGTTTTATGACTCTTATGGCTGAAAAATCTTTAAAAAAATGTTTTCAGGAATATATAAAACCTTCCAATATCTGGGAAATGAATTTTGAAAAAAAGCACAATGAAACATTAGGAATAGTGTTTGTTTTCTGCCTCTGCAGACTTTGGCCATTGTTAAGGCCCATGGCCCCACGATTAGCCTGCTGTTACATCGGGAAGATTTCTGTGAATATGCCCTGGGTCAGGTGCCCTGGCTCCTGAACCAGTACAAAGACAAAGAAATTGATTTCTACATCACACAGGTAAGAGCCACATCCTAAAGGAATTGATTCAGAAAGGCAATTGCAATCATTCAGGAAAATTAATCTCAGATGGTGCTAAGTTAAACATTTATTTGAGCTTCTTATTGTTGTTGTTGTTGTTGTTAAGTGCCAGCAAGTCAGTTCCAACCCTTAGCAACCCTGTATAGAGTTTCCAAGGAGCAGATTATGAGCTTGAACCTCCAACATTGCAGTTCAAACTGACTTTTCAGTCCAGCACATTAACCCACAGTGCCACACCAGAGCAGCTGAACTTAAACACATGTTGGAGAACAGGAGGTAGAGAAAAGCTGGCATTGCTTAGTAATGGAAACGCCAGGAAATGATTACAAATGCTTATTCAAAGCTGCTGAGATGCTGAGGCCAGGTGGTTCTGGTTGTTGATTCTGACTCATATCCCTACAAGACAGAGTAGAACTGTCCCATAGGTGATAATTTTTACAGAGTAAATTACCAAGACTTTTCACCCAAGCATCAGTTGGTTGATTCCAAATGGCAGTCAAGTGCTTAACCACTACACCACCAGAGATCCTGAAGCAAGATGGAGGGCAGGGTGCAGAATTATTAGAGAAAATTCATATTTGTAGGAAGTTTATGGATTTGTTCTGCTAACAAAGCATCAGTGACTTCTCTGATTTTCACTCAAAGTACTGCTACTTCATGGGTAGACTGCAAGTAACCTTTGAGGCCTTCCATTTAGAGTCTAAAACAAATATTGACTGCAGCAGTCCTTTATGATATTGGCCTTCCAAAGACCTTGAGAAGATCCATCTTTCTCAACTTGCTCCAGCAGGTAAGAAAGTCATGATGTCAAATGTAGCGGTTGAATTTTAACTGTTTACCTTTTTCACATCTACCACCAACTATTTCCTTCCTATTCAGATCTGCCAAGTTCCAGAGCCTCCAGTAAAAGAAAATGAGCTTGAAGCATCAAGTTGTTTTCTTATTCTAGGTAAGACCCAACATCCAAGGGTTTTTAATACAAATCTCTAAATGACATCTCCAAGTGACAATGATGACCATGATGGAGAATGTATGAATTGTTGCTTCAGTTACTTGTTGTTGTTGCTGTTCTTAAGTGCCATCAAGTCAGTTCCAACGCATACCGACCCTGTATAGGGTTTCCAAGGAGCAACTTACACACACACACACACACACACATATATATATATATATATATATATTTGTTCTGTGCCTGTCCCTCTCCACACAAGTTCCCAGGAAGAGAGGGATATGTAAGATGACCAGTCATCCAATTTAGCCTGGAATTAGAAGTAGTACATTTTGTACTAAAACCATGAACATAATTAAAATGAAATGAATTTTTCTTTTTTGATAGCTGAGATTATTTTAAACTAAGTCACCCTTTTTTTCTCAGAGGCCACGTCTTAGTACCTAAGCCTCTTTGGCCATCCATCAGTAATTCTGTGTCTCTCTCTTCCTCCTTCCCTCTCTCCCTTTTCATCTTGCTTTTGTACCACAATCTCCTCCATCACCTCGTTAGAATGTATGACCCAGGTGACATAGGAGGTACCAAGGTAACAAGGTCAGAAGACAAAACTATTCCAGCACACACTGAAGACAAGGGACCGAAGCAACTATGCCAGGTCTATAGTCTTTACACCTCCACACCCCCATAAAATATGTCATTTCCACCACCTCATTGGAGACCTTTCTATTATGCTCTTGTATTCCCCTAATTGACCCTTTTGCTTCTATACTTTTTTCTTCCAACACTAACCTAATTGACTATTGAGCTTTATCCCTGAACATTTCCAATAAAAATACCTTCCCTTCAGCCAAGTATTTCTTCACTCTTCTCTATTTCCTGTCTTACCTCTCTATCAATCTAACTTCTCAGCTGGTATTCTACTTATAAAAAATGTCAGCTTTTCCTCATGTCTCACTTTCTTCAGCAAAATCCAAGTTACTAAAATAAAGCAATCAGTTTCATTTCTCAAGTACCTGCAGCTTACATGACCCTAGCATACACCATCCCACTCTACAGATGAAGAAATTATTTATGCCCAGATATTCAAATAGTTTGTCAGGTGAACTACAGAGTCAGCAGTTCAAACTCACCAGTTGCTCCTCAGAAACCCTATACAGGTCACTATAAGTCAGAATCGATCTGACGGCACTTAACAATAACAAACAAGTAGCTGAGCCAGGAGTCAAATACTGATCTTTTGGAATTTAAAGCTCCAGATTTTTGTGGGGTTTTTTTTAACCTTTTCAAACTTAATTCTAAAACCTTATGGAATTTATTTTCTTCACCATTTTGGCTTAAGATTTAATGTTGGAATTATCATAGCAGTAATAGTATGACCTTTTTTTTTAAGTTTTTATTATGAGGTTTACATGGGAAAACTTCAGTTTTACACTCATCCTATCGTATATCGCTTCATTGCAATGATTACAATCCCCTCCATGCACCATCAAATAACCAAAGGGTACACCATACAGGCCTGCCACCCAGCCACCAGTACACAGCCCTTCTCCCTCCCTGAGTCCAGTGTCCCCAGACACTCCATCTGTCCACGTCATTGTCTCTGTCTCCGTTCATGGCGTAGGTAAGGTCTGGGTAAGGTCCCGCTCTTCGTTCTTCTCACTTGATGGTCCCTGTTACCTACACTCCTGGGCTGAAAAATCAATCACTCTCCTCCTTTTGGAAAAACAAACATCTACCTCTATATTTCCTACACTCACAGTCAATATTGATGGCAATTATTCACTATTGTGCCACAAGAGTCTTATCCCCATTTCCTTTCGCCAGCCAGGTCCCAACCGATTAGAAATCATTCAGTGGTGATTCTACCTACCCCTGTCCCACCTGGAACTATGCTCCCTCTTGAAAACTTGCAAGCCAGTCACTTCTTGCCTTTATAGGTGCCCCCATTTTGGGTACCCAATTTCTAAGTTGCCCACCTCTGTCAATCCTGCATACCGAGGGGGTGGGAGTAATCCTCACTGTAAAGATTTGTTCCCTTTTTTGAGCTGCTACATCCATAAGAATGGGTAAAGTTCATCAAATTGTAGCAGGTTACTCTCCCCCACCACCCCTTCTTTCTTCTTCTAGTCGAGTTCTGATCATCCAGCCATCAAAGCCAGGTCAAGTGGGTACTATCTGCAAGTATGGGTGTTCTTGTTCATCTCCTCTCACTTCATATGAGCTGGATGCTTCACTCTCTGCTCTAGTCATCTGTGGCCATGTCACTGCCTCTGGACCCAGAAGTCCTTAGGTCTTGCCATATTTCTGGCATTCCAGCTCTCCAACCAGGTTCACAGGGGTCTATTGAATGTGGTCGGGCTTAGCTCACAACTTCAATGCTGTTTTTTCCTCCTCTTCTCCTTATCAGGGACCAACATGGTCACCAGCCAGACCACATACCTGCTCTGAGGGGTCCCAACCACTTGCCTTGATGACCCCAGGGAAAACAACTTACTTGTTCTTGTAGTAATCAATCAGATTGCCATTATTGTTTTGGATTTTTCCTGCCAGTCTTTCTTTCACAGATTATCCTCTGTTCTACTAGCTGCTCCAAGCTGGTCTACTTGTCCTTTCCAGTGGAAATTTCCTACCTCAGTTGGTTCTGGATGGTCTTGTGCAATGTAAAGGCTCCACAGGAAGCCTTTTTCACTGGGCAACTTCTAGCCCCCCTTTAAGGTATTCCAACCAGTTATAGGAGCTTTAATAGCATAGTGATTACAAATCAGACTGCGAACTGCAAGGTCAGCAGTTTGAAACTACCAGCTGTTCCGCAAGAGAAAAATGAGGCTTTCTGCTCCTGTAAAGATTTACAGCCTCAGAAACCCTGTACAGGGTCGCTATGAGTCGGTTGCAACTCCACAGCACATAACCACCACCACCATTCAGTTATAGGCTGAAGAGGGACTTACAAGCTTTCTGTAGTGAAGATTCTGGTTACTCCTTTCTCCCCACCTCAAGTGTCTATTTTACAATGGTAGGCAAGGGAAAGCACAATTCAAAAGACTGCCAAGCGTCTTAACGTTATTCCCCTCTTTTACCACCTCAAACCATGCCTAAATCCCTATATCCTGGAGCCCTTTTGTTCCAAGTTTGTGCATTCATCATCATTTACCTCTGCCCCACTTAGCCCATGTTAACCTGCCTAACTGTTCTCCCATCAGCCTTGTTCTTCCGCTTCCCTTCCTCCTTCTTGTGTATTGCCCACCTGCACCACCCCCACCCCCACCCCCGCACACAAGCTACCCTGTGTCTATTACATACCCTGTGCTCTATCTTCCCCTCCTGCCTGGCCTCCTCTCATCCCATATATCCTGGTGATCAGCAAATATATATAATTTTTTCCCCTTTTAGTGTGGGTTCTTTTTCTTACTCTTTTACAGTAGTGGTCCTATGCAGTATTTCTCCTTTGGTGACTGACTAATTTCACTCAACATAATATCTTCAATGTTCATCCATGTTATGCGGTGGTTTGCAACTTCCTTGTTGCTCTTCAAGTTACCATAGTATTCCATCAGGTGTATGTATCACAGTTTGTCCACTTTTCAGTTGATGGGCACTTAGTGCTGCTGTGAACATTGGTGTGCATATACCTACTCGTGTTATGGCTCGTATTTCTTGTGGATAAACACCAAGTAGAGGAATTGCTGGGTCATAAGGTATTTCTATTTCCAACCTTCTGAAGAAAGCACCATATTGCTTTCCAGAATGGTTGGAACATTTTGCAATCCCACCAACAATGTAGGGGGTCCCAGTCTCTGCATCCTCACCAGCATTTATTGTCCTCTACTTGTTTCATCTTTGTTGTTATTGCTGATGTGAGATGATATCTCATTGTTGTTTTGATTTGCATCTCTCTAATGGCTAGTGATCATGAACATTTCTTCATATGTTTGTTGGCTGCCTGAATCTCTTCCTTGGTGAAGTGTCTGTTCACATCCTGTGCCCATTT